AAATACCTTAAGGAGTGACTGGGCGGGCGAGCATTAGACGGGGTGGGGTGAGCAAGCATCAGATGGGCGGGGCGAGTGAGCAACAACCAGGCGACTTGGTCAGGGGCGTGGCCAGCTAGAAGTTACTACCTGTTCAGCGACCCACACCAAATCCTTGCTACCGGTTCGCTTGAACTGGTGCAAACTGGCTGATTACCACCACTGCTTCAAGGCATTACTGAGGTAGTAGGCTGTATCCCCTTGTCATCTCCCTTTGAGCACACATGCATTTTCCTGAAATTGCAGCTTTGCAATAAATCCCCAATAAAAATAGTAAAAATGTCAGACTGTTCAACCCATTCCAGAAAGATCTGGAGTTTCTATTCAGAAAAATTGCCCAGCATGGTTCCTTTCAGATGTCCTGGATCTAAAACCCTATTCCGCTCAGCAGAATTGTTATTCATCTTTTCTAGAAGACTTCTCTTAGTTTTTCAATGATGTCAAGAGGCATTCTTCATGCATGGGCATACTAGACATACTCTCAACTCACTTGGGATGGCAAGCAAGGAGCACAGGTTTAGCTGTAGTAATTGAGTAAGCTTTCTAGAATAATTTTCTCAAAATTCTTTACAATCCACTAGGAATATGACTGGGGGAAGAACAGGGATTCTTCAAGAAAGGTGTTATAGCTCTGAATTCATGAATATAAATATTAAAAGACAAACAAAAACAGTGCCAGGGCTGCCAGAATGAATGTGTTTTGGTTCCTCTGTTTCTTTATTAACCCTTGCTTCCGAAAGTAGAACTAAACATTCCTGTTTCCCAGCAAGTTGCTTAAGAAACAAGCAAATTATGGGAAAAGCAACTCCCCAGAACAATAGGTGATATTTCTTTACTTGGGAAAAAATGGCATTTCATGAAAGAAGTTCCAAATCTTTTACAGTGTATCACAAATATTGGAAATTCTGACCTGGCATTTTCACCAGCTTCATCTGAAAAGGCCCAATTGCTTAACCAAGCATAAAATGCAATAAATTCAAGATGCTCACCCTGAGATAGCTGAGGCAGTGACCTTTCTTCCTAGAAACCATTTTTGGCAAGGGAACAGCACTATCTAACAGGCAAGTGCAACATTATAACTTGCTGCAATTTGCGATTAGTTTCTCCCAGGGAACAGAATAAAGTAACTGCAACATTTTGCTTGGCATACCTATCTTGTTCTAGGTCAAAAGATACTCTCTCTCTCTCTCTCTCTCTCTCTCTCTCTCTCTCTCTCTCTCTCGGTGTTCTTTTCCTAACAACATGAAGGGGGAGTTTTATCTGGTGAGCATTATCTGGCTCGAAATGAACAGAAGCCAAGAGAGCGACAGAAGTGTATAGGAATGAGTAGATAATGCAGGTAGCAACTTCAAAAATAGTCCTGAACTTGCTGGAAAATTCTAAGCTCCAAAGCTGTGCAAGCCTACTATTATTAGCTCATATGATGGTTTCTGTAAGATGTCGTGTGGAACTTGGTTTTCATAAAGGCAGACAAGCAAGATGAGAAGTTCAGTTGCTCTTTTGTAGCCCATTTATTTGGTGGAGAATCCTAGCATATTTTTCTTTCCTGGTATTTCCTTCATTGGACTGCAGAAATTATACAGGTAGTCCTCGACTTACAATAGTTCGCTTAGTGTCTGTTCAAAGTTACAATGGCACTGAAAAATGATCATTTTTCACTTATGAACGTTGTACCATTCATATGGTCACGTGATTTACAGTCTTGACAACTGACTCACATTTATGACGGCTGCAGTGTCCCAGGGTCACATGGTCCCCTTTTGTGACTTGACAGCAAAAGCCAATAAGGAAACCAGATTCACTTAACAACTGTGTTACTAATTTAACAGCTACAGTCATTCACTTAACAAATGGGGCAAGAAAAATCATAAAATGGGGCAAATTAACAAATTTCTCACTTAGCAACATAAATGTTGGGCTCAATTGTGGTTATAAGTTGAAGACTACCCCTCGTTGCTTTTTATGCCATACTAGTGAAGCGTTACTACTATTTCTGCTATCTTTTGCTGAATAACAGTATTGGAAGGGACCTTTGAGGTCTTCTAGTCCAACCCCCTACTCAAGCAGGAAACCTATACCATTTCAGACAAATGGTTGTCCAGTCTCTACTTATTAGAAGCCTCTAGTGATGGAGCACCTACAATTTCTGAAGGCAAGTCATTCCACTGATCGTTCCATCAGGAAATTTCTCCTTAGTTTTAGGTAGTTCTCTCCTTGATTAGTTTCCATCCATCGCTTCTTGTCCTACCTTCAGTGGCTTTGGGGAAAGTACATTTCCTCTTCACGTTTGTCATCTCTTTCCATCTATAGCTTCATTTTTCCTTAAAAGTAGCAGGATTTTCTCCAAATCAGTGTCATAGTTTTAATACCATGGTCCTTGGTAAAAGCCAGCTCTCTTTTGAACTTCTCTTGTGGCTGGGAAATTCAAAAGACGGAATACTTTGTTATATATTTTATTTTAATAAAAAAATGTGATTGCCGTGCTTGAATTCCTAAGCGGAAGAGGAGAGCCATAATATACCTTTTATTTCCTATATTCTATTTTGTCACACCTCCTCCCAAACATATCAAGGCTCAAAATAGCTTCCTCCCATTTCGATTCTGTATCATCTTTCATTTTTAACATTTAATGAGTTTTATCTGTACTGCAGAACTGGTTTAATTATTATTTTGTTCCTTGGTGGGGTTTTGCTTCTATAATATTCAATTTAAAGCACATTAGATGATGTTAAACTGTCCTGTGGACAACTTTATTAGATGGGTCTTTCCTTCCATAAACATTCATTCCCAAAGCCAAGGATATTCTCATAGAAATATTAAGCCTTTGGAGTGAATACTACTCTCCACTCAAGATGCTAATTTAAAAAAGACCCCCATAAACTCAACTCTTTATGTATAAGAACACTATAAAAATATTGAGGAAATTTGAGGAAGCTGATTCATGAAAGTTTGCAATTTAACCATCCTCCATCATTATTCAGTGATTGCACTTAAGTTTTATATTTGAATTTTTTGTTCTGTTCCAGATTGTTCCACATGCCACTCCCATATTCACATCTTGTCAGGAATATCCATGACCGCCCAATATATGTACAAGAGCATTCTAGGTAGTTCATGCCCTAATGTCAAGGTTCCATTACTGTTAAACCTAAATTGATTCCATTGTTTTCTGCCACGGTGGTTTGCTAGTTTATAATTTTCAAGGATCTTATAGCAACAAAGTGTTAATCACCTTTTTTTCTATCTTGAAACTATAAAGAAAAAAAAGCAAGAAACAAAGAATAAGTTAATGTACTCAGTTTTATTGTATCAAGTGTGGCAAAAATTAGAAGAGAATGCAAATGTTTGAAGGTCGAATTCATATGGTGTTTATCTTCCTTCCTCTTTAAATTATTGAGGATAGACTATTTCAGTTCTAATAATAAGTAAAGGAAAACTTTGTTTATGGCCATTGATTAGCCACATACAGAATTGCAAAATACAAAAAAAGCACCATCAGTATTAAAAGTAAAACAATAGTAATAATTGACAAGTGGGTGAAAAGAGAGAAATAGCATTGGCCTACCCCTATGATTTTTTCCCAACCCATGGGCCACAAATTGGTACCAGTCGGCAGCCTATTAGGAACTGGGCCCTGCAAGTGAGTGAAGCTTTATCTGAGCCTACACAGGATCTAGGCAGCATAAGAAACCATTCCCCCCCATGCAGCCATCGCTAGTCTGAAGAAAAATTGTTTCCCCAAAACCGGTCCTGATACAAAAAAGGTTGGGACTGCTCTCCTAGAGATCTACACATATTCAAAAATGATGTTGGTATTCTTTTTGGTCGTTGTTCAACAGAGACATGTGGATGATGGATGGGTATATAGAAGATGGTACCTTCCACATATGTATAGAACGTATTATTCAGGGGGGCAATTTCAATCCTTGATGGCTGTCACCATCAATACCACATGTTGATGCAGCCCATTGCTAGATAGAAAGTTGTAGTCCAGTATAATTAAGGAGTCAGAATTGGAGAAAGTTCCATGCATAATATTGATGTTCTGATAGGTCAATGTTTTGTCTTTGTAAAAATCATATATATAACTTCTTATAATTAGTTTCGAGGTCTAAGTTCTGTTTGCAATCTTTTTGCAATGATGCTGGCATGGGAAGGGAAAACCCGTTAATCTGAAAAAGTACATAAGGAAATTCACTTGCCAGAAGCCCACATATCTCAAAGTAAAGGGTATACTTCTCAGGTCAAAAAATGCACTTATTTTAGCAAGTTCAAAGTTCTGACACTCGATTTGACAAGTCAGTGCTACATCTGTTGCAGAAGCAAAAATAAAGAGCAATTTGTACCATCCTGAATTATTTCTTTGGGGAGTAATGCCGTGATAGAAAAGTAATCCTGAATCCATATCAGAAGAGTAAGTTGGATCCAGTACTGAGAGAATAAATTGTGGCCAGGGAAAACAATGTTCCCAAGTGTTTAACTCATGTCCACCAACCACATCTGTTCATTTCATATCCTGCACCAAGCAAGGAATTATGGGTAACTGTTTAACATTTATATTGATGTATTGTTGATTGAAGTTGAACCTAACAGGAGTGGATTTCTGTTCCAGAAGAGAAGGGATGATAGGGAAATTGGAAGTGATCCTGCATCCTGTTTTTAATGATGTTAAGATATTGGCACGATTACAGCTGCACTAGTCTCTAATAGCAATGTTGACTAAAATGTATTTTATTCTAATAGTAGATGACAGGTCATAAACTCATTACTTTTACGCAGTATAAAAGAACAATTCCATAGGAAGTAAGTGATTGTTACTGGTTGAATATAGTATGGCACAAAAACAACTTCCTTTACCTCATTATCCCAAAGAAAAAATATTGATGTTATTCAGGGCTGTGCCTTGTTTATCAAGTCTGTGTCTTGTGAAGCTTGAATAAACACATATCAACTCTTTACAGGAAGAAAATGAAATCCCTGCCAGCGTATTTGTGAAAGAGCCTGTTCCCAGTATTACTGATGGGAAGGAAGAGCCTGTCGATGAGAATAAAACCTTGGAAGAAACCTTGCACACTGTGGAATTATCCTCAGAGGATGAGTTGCCCCATGATGACCTTGCAGAAGACAGCATGGATGAGAAAATAGAGGAGTCCAGAGCTGAGAAAATCAAGAGATCCAGCCTTAAAAAGGTTGACAGCCTGAAGAAAGCATTTTCCCGCCAAAACATTGAAAAGAAGATGAACAAGATTAGCACCAAGATTGTCTCGCCTGAGCGGAGAGAGAAGATCAAGAAGTCTTTTACTCCTAACCATCAGAAGTCTTCTTCATCAAAAAGCTCGTCTTTCAAGGTCTCTCCCCTGACATTCAACGTGAAGAAAGTCCGTGATGGAGACACATCCATAGAAGTAGAAGATAAGCCAGGGGAAGCACCTGGCAGTAAGCATGCCGCCAGTGAAGAGGGCACCCTCACTTCAGATCCAATCTGTTCTTCTTCTCCAGCAGAAGAAGGAAAAGCCTTTGTTGATTCCTTGGAAAAAGAGTCGGGAAGTGAAGGAGAGGTGGTGATCAACAACAACATTGAGCTTGCAATTGTTGAAGAAGATGATGACTATAGAGCTTCATTAGAAATCAGACAAGAACTTTATGAGGAAAGAAACAAGCCAATCAGTGAAGAAATGGAATATTCTGAAGAATCCAATCAAGCAGCTGTCCTCCATGTAAACCAAACAGCTTAAATTGCTTGTGTCCTTTCTACATATGATATTTTTAATTATATCAGTCACCAGAATATGTCCGAATACTATAAATGTGAGGTCTAATAGTGAATCACAGTGGAATTGTTGGTTTTAAAGCATAGATTTCCTTACAAACTGTTTCGATCACTCAGTTAGAATTGATTCCCACAGTCAAAAGTAGGGCTGTTCTACAAATAACAGAAAAGCAGATGTCATGAGCAGCTTTTAACCTCTTTCCATCAGCACTTCAATCCTCACCCTACTTTCTAATGTTTCTTCTCTTTAACTAGAATGTGTTTAAAAGAAGTCTTTAAGGCCATTTGATAAAAGGCGTTTCCTACAGAGTCTTTTTTAAATTGTAGTTAAGAATATAAGCAGTGCCCTGCTAGATCAGACCCCTTGCCCCATCTAGTCCAGCAGAATATTCTCTGGCCAACCTACTACATAAGGAAGCTCATTTGTCTCCCAGCAGATTCAGGGAGGTCACACTGCCATCAATTCCTTGATTCCCAAGACCTCCGTGAATTGATCCAACCTTTTTTTTTTTTAAGCCAGCCAAGCTGGTAGCTAGCACCACATCTCATGGTACTGAATTCCAAAATGTAATCACAGATTGTGTTTAAAAAAAAGTCCTTGGGTCAGTCCTAATTCTTCCAATGTATTCAATTTGGTTCTAGTATTTTGGGAAGAGGAGAATAGCTTTTCCTTGTCCACTTTATGCCATTCATAATTTCATAATTAAAGAGTTATTGAAGATTTGCATAGATCCATGACCCTTATCACCATCTACAATCAACTCTCAGTGGAGAAGGCATGGCTATTAAATGTTGCAAGAATGATCTTATTTTGTTTCAGAATCAGATCGCATGTTTTCTTCAATCTAGATTGTGAGCCTTCATTGAAAAAGATGGTTTCCAGGATTCTGCTTGGCTCATTGTCCTGGAGAAACTGTCTCTTTTGGAGGGAACTATAAAATCCATTGCAGTATCCTCTTTGCCTGTTAACTTTTTCCTACTAACTGCTAAGTTACAATCCAATTAGAAGCTAAACCCTTTCCCATCTATGCCATAATAGTAAGACAATTCATCGTCTTTTTCCTACCCTATGGAATCCTCAAAGTTTGTAATTTCCATTCTTGATGCGCTGTGACTATCCCAGCGCAAAGTAAGAGTGAACTTCATGTGACAAGAGCTGATACTGAAAATGCAGGCGTGAATTACTGAAAAGTACAGCTTTTGACAGTATACTTATACCCATTGTGTGCAGATACACTGGAAAAGATATTTTTAGCATATACAATTGATTTGGGAAACAAATTACTGTGAGGAGGCTGTACCTCAACAAAAATATGAAAATGGGATTTTTGCTTCCTTATCGCTGTTCGGTCCCTTAATTAATTAATAACCGTTGATACAGAACAATTAGGCAGTTGAGATTTCAGCCTAATAGTGTCTGCATCAACCTATTTTGTTTTATTGACCTTGAAAATATTCCTTTATTCGCCTCAGCTCCTTGCAAGATGAGCTTTAGTTTTGTTTTGTCCTTTCAAATAAAACAAAATCAAGTTCTTGTGAAACTACAGGTAGTCCTCGAGTTACAACAGTTCATTTAGTGACTATCAAAGTTTATAATAGCGTTTAAAAAAGTGACTTATGACTGTGTTTCACACTTACGATCGTTGCAGCATCCCCATGGTCATGAGATCCAAATTCAAATGGGGGGTGGGGTCATGAGATCACTTTTTGCAAGCAAAATCAGTGGGAAAGATTCACTTAACTGTGTTACTAACTTAACAACTACAGTGAATCACTTAACAAGTGGTGAGAAAGATATAAGCAGGTCAAAACTTACTTAACAACTCTCTCACTTAGCAACAGAAATGTTGGGCTCAATAATGGTCATAGGTCGAGGACTACCTGTATGGTGCAGTCTTATAGCTTATGTTCTGAAGTCAATCCCACCAAGTCTGTTTGGACTTACTTTCAGAGGACTACATGTAGGATTACAGCTGTAGTATAGTAATGAAGTAATAGTAGTAATCAAAGGTAATATATGTTAAGATCTCTTGTAGATTTTTTTTCCCCATGTGTACCTTCCCATCATGGAACATCATTCCCCCCCCCCACACACACACAATTAGAGTGATAAGATACATGTCTAGACATAAAACTATGAGATCAGTAAGATGCATATCTTGTCTTAATATCTAAATTGAAAAGAACGTGGTATGGTTAGGAAGTGTCTGTGCACCACAGAAACTGATGGGCTACAACTCTCATTATACCCAGCCAGAAAAGTCAGTGATAGGGGTTGATAGGAGAATATCTTCTATGTTCTCCCTGACTGACATAGGGCAAAATGTGTTGAAGAACGGACAAAGGCAAATAGGATCTCTTTATTTCCTTATCTAATTCCAACATAATGTTCAAAACGAGGAAGGGATACCATTCTTTCCTAGTCGAGCAAATTGCATGTACTATTTTGCTCATGTGCCAAGATGGACATGCTGCGTGAGCAAAGTAGTAAGGAGCATTCCTCCTTTCACACATGCATCCTATGCCCCAGGTCAGGTTGCACCCTATCTTAAGACAGCAAAGAAATTCTGACACAAAAGAATCCCCTTGTGTAGTCTCCACAATCTTGGCGTGTTGCTTCCCTTTCAGGAAAACCCAGATTTGCTTCCTGGGGCAGATATGCCATCTCTTGAAAGTCCAGACTGTTCCTGTGAGGTGCCATGTTGCTTCACAACTATTATGGAAGGCGACATAGGTGATGGATGGGGTAGCAGATCACGCAAACTTACAGTGGAATGTCTATATAGGTGCTTAGGATAACTTGCTTGCTTCTGTCCCATGCAGCCTTAAGTTGATTATTAATGTATATAGATATATAGATATAGATATACATGTTTTATGTTAGATTTATTTTGAGAGAATACATTTAAGAGAATAAAAATATTATTTGCTTAATAAAAACAATTATGTTTTAAATGGCCAAAGGGAGATATAGGGATATATATATATTGTAATCAAATAGTTCATAGAAATAGATTATCAAATAGTGATCTATGCACCAAGCTACTGTATTTAGAGTGTAGGGTGAGGGATGGCGTGGCATATTGCAAGAGGATCAAGTGAAAGTTCAAAGAATATATAATAAAATAAGAGAGGGGCTACGATAGTAAGAAACGTACTTAAGTAGCCCAAATATATTATCCAGGGAAGATATATTTTTATTCTGGGCCTACACAATATTACAGAGAAGACTGTTCTGAAAAGTGTATCCATGGATTATTTGTAAGCATATATTACAAAAGATCACAGTTTCCGTCAGCAATGTGAATCTTAACTTCCTTGTTTCTATGGGTGTTTAAGTGTGCATAGCCAACAGATGAATGCCCAAATGTAGAATATATATAGATCACCTAGGAATTATCCAACAGAATGAAATAATCCTACTGAATATTGACAGTGCCCATCAAACAATAATTTTAATAGTCCCTTTTTTATTTTTCACATTTATCAGCTGTATGAAAGATTATTAACATCAGCTGGTCATTTCTGTATGGTTTGAGTGTTCCATGTTATGTGTAGAATATTTAGTTGGATTAGACATACGAGAACAGTTATAAAAGTGTAACTAATTATTCCATTTTTAGTTGGTGATGTCAGATGATTTGATGCCATGTTGGAATTTTTGTTTGAGATTTTTTTAAAAATATTGAGTTGAGTGATAAAGGGCAATGAATGAGATTCTAAGTGGATTTCTCCTGTGTAAAACAAATATCAACTCTGCCTGTGGGTAGTTGTTTCATTTTAGGATGGTTTTGTATGTGAAAATTCCCCATTGGATGGGATGGGGACGTTGTATCCACCACCTTGGGCATCCTGCAATACATAGTAGATTTCACAGCCATGTAGAAGTTGGAATTTCTGCATATGTGAGGCATTGTGACCAAACTATTCAGAAGTGAAAGTGCATTCCTATAGCATGTAATCATTCTATTTGAATTCTTCATTCCTCTTAATCAGAAGTATAATTCAGCAATATATGTGCCTGACAATCGTATATCAATATATATACATACATACATACATACATACATACATACACACCCTGTTTCTCCAACAATACGGCCTCTCCCAATAGGAAGTCCCAGCATGTTTTATAGGCATGAAATGAAATTAAGCCCCTCTCCCCAAATTAAGGCCTATATTAAAACATGTGAAATGGGGGGAATGGTGGGGGGGCTTGCCGTTAGGAAGTACTTTTGTTGCACAGCCAGATATGGTGCTGCCTGCGTTGACCCCAATGCGAAGTGCCCCACCAACGCCGAGGTCAACATCCAAGCCATCGCCGCCCGCCCGCACGAAGATGCAAGGGGGGAAAATTAAGTCAGCCCCGAAAAGACGGCCTAGCCATTTTTTCGGGGCTCAAAAAAAAATAAGACCCGGCCTTATTATATGAGAAACACGGTACATACATACATACATACACAGTACATAATAATAATCCCCTTTTAATATTGATATATTTAACTTTTGCATATATTGCACTAGAAATTTGTGGGTGCCCCCCCCCCCAAATATATTTAAAGCTGCAATTTTGTTTCAAAAGTTTTTTAAGAGACTATATGTTAGTAAGCAATTCCAGATGGACTATCTCATACAGTCATTTCATATGTCTCTAGATGTTGATCAGTTTATTTCCAATGAGGATTTTTTAACAGTTAGTTTTTTTAATAATTACAATATTATGAGAGAGTTACAATCAATAGAAATAACTGCAATATAATCACGCATTTGCCTTCATTTTATTTAATATCAATGCCTGTTACTAATTACAGTTGTGTTCAGCTAAATAAAAAGCAAACTGAGTTACATTGTATTTGTCTGAACGAAATTATTGCAAAGCAAGAAGAGAAAAACATCCAATGTAAAATTAGACATTAAACGTATTTTTGCTTTCTCTGCTGTTTTTAAAAACAACATGCAAATAACATCAGCTTTTGGTTGTCAAGACAACCCCAATTTCTTCAGGGTTTTGAGGTGTCTAGTCTGCTGCTGTTTTCCAGGTGCATATTTTTTCTGAGATGTATTATTTTTTATTTAAGCTTCCCCAGGTCTGTAGTTAGCATGTCAAAAGCACATGGATGCAAGTGACATTATCTACAGGTACTCGCTTTTTCAAAAATCTGTTGATAAGGTGTCTTGTGCAAAGCTCTTAAGCAAACTGAGCAATCAGGAAACAAAATTGTCAGCCTTTTATAAATAGCTGATTGGTTAAACAAAAAGCAAAGAGTAAGAATAAAAGCAATTTTCTCAATGGAAAGAAGAAGTGGAACCCCTCAGGAAGCTGTGTTAGGGATCTTTAACTTGTTTTAAAATTATCTTGCTTTGAGCGCAAGCAGTGAGCTAGCCAAGTTTGTAGAGGATGCCAAATGAATCAAGAGTAGTTAAAAAATATTGCGAAGAGCACCTGAAGAATCTTTGAACTGGAGGCATGGTCAATTTGGCAATTTTTGAAAAGATGCATAGTGGAGATAACAAAAGCCCCCTACTTTCATGTATGTGCTGATGGGGTCTGAGTTACCTTCTAAGATCTCAGGAAGTATTACATAGATTTTTGTAGAGAGGTCAGTGAAGATGTTTACTGGAGGCTGATTTGCAAAACTGGCCTGTCACAATGTTTGTATAGGCTGCAAGTATTTTTCAAAGGTGGCAGTGATCACATTGTCCAGACAGAACATCACTATAGCCAAAGTAGACCATAGGGTTGAACTTCAGACAGAGATTTTTTAATTCTTAAGGGATACTGAATGCAGTGCAGAAAAGTGCTGACTGTGTCAGCTGACAAATTCCATGCTAAGAAATACTAGGAAATGGTCTGATCCAACAGAGTGGGCGTGCTTCTGATCTCCTCTATGAACAGTGCCATTTTAAGGGACCTAGAGAAGGGGCCTTCTCTATTGCAGTGGTTCCCCAATGGAAAATCATTCTCCCTCCCACCCACCCCCCAAAATGATCTTGACACTGCTAACCTTTCAAAAGGCTTTGAAAACCTGGCTCTTTCTCCAAGCATTGGGCTTAAATGTTAGCCTATTCCATAAAGCTAAGAGAATGATTGTGATGTCCTCTGATGTATTACGTTTTTCATCTGGGTATTTTGTATTTGTTTTTAATTCAATATTAGCCATCGAGAATCCCCAGTATGAGTTGAGTGGCTGGAGAGGGGGAGAAGGAGAGGAACTGCCAACATCTGGAATGCTCTGATCCAAATTTCTTCTATCCATATTTTTAATGCTGCATACAGTTGTGGTTGTCATATTTGAAGAAAATGTAATGGAACTGGAAAATGTGTATAAAAAGTCAAAGCAGTTGGCTGGCTCAAACTCTTTATGAAGAAAGGCCAGAATATCTGGAACCTTTCAGTTTAGAAAAGGCAGCTAAGAGTTGGACATGATTAGGGATTATAGAATCATGAGTGTCATAGAGTAAATGAATTAATGGAAAAATGTTTACCCTTGTTTCAAAACATCAGAACTAGTTATCATCTAAGGGAATTTATGGAGAATGAGATAAAAATACTCCATATGATGTATAATTGACCTATGGAATTCGAGTATAGGAAGGGAGGGAGGGAGGGAGAGAGAGGGGAAAGAAAGGGAGGGGGGAGGAAGGAGTCAGAAAAATGACTTTTAGACAAAAAAGGAGGTGCACTGTCAATTTTGTCTTTAAAGTTTCCTTAAGGGATTTTTCTCATGAAATTGAAAAGATTAATGGGGGGAAACAGCAAGTAAAAAATAACTTGAGCTTCCTCTAATTCCCCACTACTAACAATATTTCTCTAGCTCCTTTTCACAGAAGGAAAAACAATGCCTCATAAGACACGGTGCAGTGCATGCTCAATCATGATTCTGACAGTATGCCAATCACTATTTTCTCAGCTTAAACTACTCCGAAGAATTGTTTTGTGGCTAAAATGCAGGGTTCCATTTACCCTCCTGCATTCTCTAAAAGCAGTGTTTCTCAATCTTGGCAATTGTAAAATATGTGGACTTCAACTGCATGCTGGCTGGGGAATTCTGGAAGTTGAAGTCCACATATCTTGGAATTGCCAAAATTGAGAAACACGGCTCTAAAGCAAGGCAGTAAGACTCCATTACCCATTTTCCTATTACAAAGCAGCATAGCTGAGACTTTAATGCCTCTTCTCCCCTTTGCCTCTTCACTAAGAAAGAAAGAGAAAAATGATCTTGCTTTAGCAATCACAGCCCCGCTTCTCAAAGGTAACTCTCCAAAGCAGTTTGCCAGCTCTGATACATGTGATTGTTCAATCCACATTTTTTATTATGTTGCACTAGACTTCTAAATACGGTACCTTATGGAGATCTTCAGGCAGAAATGTATTGCAGTGGATGTTCTGTTTATTCTCACAGATGCACTTGTGTCGTAGAGAGTACCACGTAGTCTTTAGAAGACTTAATTTTACTGACAAGGCAAAACACATATGTTTAACCTTCATGGGACAGCTGTCAACATCTAGCAGCACTTTGCTGGGGAATTGAAAATCATGTTTGCATTTCACTCTCAGCTATGCCTGCATTGTTTATATACTTGCAAGCTTTAGGTCAAACAATGCCGCCGTTGGAGAAATGGCAGTCAACAGACCTACTTTATCAGGCATTTCGTAGACACTTAAATGAAACACTCTCTTTCAAGCCTATAATAATTCCTTACATTTCATGAAACAACAATAACCACAAAATGCTACCCAGTGTTCTTCCTATTTAAAATTAAAAATGTCAACGTCAAACTCGAGCCAAGTTGCCAAATTAGTCTCTCAGGTTGGCAGTCCAAAATAACATTTCTGTACAAGGGTGGCAGGGAAAATTCTTTCTCTTCCACAGAGAACATGTTCAGTCTTTCATAAATGGGGAAACAACATTAAGAAACAAGCAATAATCCTTTATTTCCTAACTCAACCTTCCAATGATTACATAGACTGTCCCTTGATCATAACCATATCTGCAGACATATTTTAATTCATTTTTTTCTTTCCTATGATTTTTTTTCTTTGTTTTCATTTTTTTCTTTGCTTTTTTCTTTTTAATAGTTCTCTTGGTTTGTACTAGTTTTTGAACTGCATCTGTACACTTTAACAAATATTATATAGAAAGAGATGCACATTCTAAAGTCTTCTGATTCTAGCCAGACTTAAATGCACCTTATCCTAAAGCTGAATTATAGCTTAGGACTTCAGGATAAGGTAGATACAGATCAATACTGAACTCTTCTCAATCATACAGAATGGGAACATCACCAAGAGAACTTCTATGCTTTCATTAAGGAGCAAAGAGATGAAAGTAGCGACATACAGTACTATCTTTAGGGAGCAGCGGGGGACTAATCACTAGATTTGGGGAAAGGGGGCAAAAATAAGCCTTTCCACATTCATTCTTAAGAATTTAAGGCATCTGGACATATTGATTTTTTTTTCCTGATGCGCTGGCATTACAGTTGCAGAATCAATTGCAATGGAAAGTAAAGTTCAGTGGGTTATCAGCACCTCTAATATTTTTATAGAGATAAGGAACAGAAAGAGGACATTGGACAAGTGCACATCCAACAATGTATTTCCTAGGGGTTACCTTTCTCTTGTTTTGTTTTTTGTTGCTAGGTATCAAAAGAATTAAAGAAAATAATTCAAA